TTCTCTTTACACCAACTTTGTTATTACTGGGCTTGGAGCTGTTTTTGAACGTGCTATGCCTATGAAATGTGAGCGGCTCTACGCGGAGTCTTTTTTTACGCTGTTTATGCATGCACCAACACACGTACTCTTTCAAGCGGCTACGTTGACTGTATAAAGATATAAAACACAACAGTGTTCGTGTCTTCAGCATATTGATTTTCACTGATCGCTCATTTGCTTATGAGGTGTTCCTCCTAAAAATAAGTAAAGAATTGTCGGCAGATTCCATACACCTTCGAAATCGATCTCATGTGAAGCATGCGGATAGAAGGTGACTGTGTTGTCATTTTTTATTGAGCGAAACGAAAGGAAGCGGTGCTAAAGATTTACTGAAATTCACGCACAGACACATGTTTAACAACCGTGTATGTTTTACGAGTATACAAATAGTTGTTTACAGTTCCGGTAAGGATGCCAACAGCAGCATGCATATTAGCAACACCAGAAGTGGTATAAGATGATTTCGAAGCGCTCGTCCCGCGCTAGGTATAGTCCTGGACACTGCAACATAATCAACCTCATCGATAGCGCCTAACTACAATTGACGTTGACTTGAGATCACGGCTGTATCATAGAAGTACTTATGTTATGTTTTACTGTATAGCCAGCACTGCAACCACAGTTCACGTTTCACAAACACTCGGGTCTATTTTAAAAATAGTTCCGAGATATGCATCACTCTGTGGCAGAATATTTGATTGCCACGCAGAATGCTTGGGTTCGATTCCTGCTGCCGGACTCTGCAGCATCTATCCTTTTTTATTGTAAGATTCAACAAACAAATAAATAAATAAATAAAATCTATTCTTTACATTTTTTTCGGATGAGCGCGGCCGACACCAGCTTTTTGTTATATTCACGCGTTAAAATTACCAACGCATGCCCTCACCGTTTCTGGGCAGATTAAACTATCAGCCACCTGTGACATATACCCGCATATCGGTGGCGCATACCCGGCCGTGGTATGCGCCACACGTCTGACGAAAGGGGTTAGACGTAGCAAGCGACGGGATCTTGGACAGACAGACAGACAGACAGACAGACAGACAGACAGACAGACAGACAGACAGACAGACAGACAGACAGACAGACAGACAGACAGACAGACAGACAGACAGACAGACAGACAGACAGACAGACAGACAGATAGATAGATAGATAGATAGATAGATAGATAGATAGATAGATAGATAGATAGATAGATAGATAGATAGATAGATAGATAGATAGATAGATAGATAGATAGATAGATAGATAGATAGATAGATAGATAGATAGATAGATAGATAGATAGATAGATAGATAGATAGATAGATAGATAGATAGATAGATAGATAGATAGATAGATAGATAGATAGATAGATAGATAGATAGATAGATAGATAGATAGATAGATAGATAGATAGATAGATAGATAGATAGATAGATAGATAGATAGATAGATAGATAGATAGATAGAAACGGTCATGGTGCCTTTGGTTCGTTAAGAAATGTATCGCACTTAAAAACGTTATCGTACTATAAACAAGTTCCCCGCGGTGGCGTAGTGGTTGCGGTGCTCGGATCCTGGCCGCGCCGGTCGCGCTTAGATGGAGGGGAAATACTACAGGGCCGTATACTGTGCGATATCCGTGCATGTGCGATATCCGTGCATATTCGCGAAAAGGCCTGAAGCAGCGACGACGAAGGAGGCCGCGGAGTATGTCACCGAGAAGGCCGTTGTACGAAGGAAGGCGGCCTGCACGACCACAAGAACCACAGCAGAGGTGATCGCGGCAAACTATAGCCCGTCTGCAACCTGTGTGTACGTAACCTGGCCGTAACCACTTCGACGGATAACCTCGAGGCAGTGAGTTGTAAGCCCGGCAAGATAATGCCCACCACGGCTGTCATTGCGAACAGAACTCCTTGCGCACGGCGGTGAGACTTCGCCAGGTACCCGAAGCACGAGTTCGGGACACCCAGGGAAAACCTCGGGGCTGGACGCAAGCTGCCGCGGTGGCCGCCAGAGCACCCGCGCCCTCTGTGACTGCTGGCAAAGTGCTCAAAACAGCACCGATGGCAATTAGTGCGACCTCGTCAACGAAGTGTGCAATAGTGATGAAGGCGAAGGATGATGCCGGGGAATGCCGTCAACATAACCACAGACAACGAAGTTTTCTTGAGGGGGGTATGCGTGGGGAATGCGCTCACCGCCAACCGGTGACAACACGTGCAGCGCAGTCGGGGTGCACGTGTCTCGCAAGATCAGCTACAAAAGCGCCAGCGGACAAGATACGCGGCCAGTTGGCGATGGACTGCCGGCGTAGTGAAGGATAATGTTCGGACGGCGAGTGCAGTGGCCGCGTGCAATATGTTTGTCCTGCTAGGGTTGGTTGAATGTTTCTTGTTACTAATAAAGGTTTCTCTCGGTTTTGAGGTAGCGTTTTCATTCCGTCCAGTGGCCAGACAACGTGAACCTCACAAGTTAGACAACCTACGCAGGCTGCCAGCTGTCCAGCTGGCAGCCTGCGTATGCTTACGCAGCACCGGAAAGTGGAACCGATGTGTGCAACACACATCGATAACTGCGCGCTACTCAACCACAAAGAAATAACAAATGGGACACTTGTTTGTTCGGGCTCGTAATGTGTTCGTTTTGTGCATCCTTCTTTGTGTTTGAGCAGCGCACTGCAAGTTTAGATCTGCTTACCGTTCTTCACGTGACATTTCAATTGGTTAATATCGGATTCATTGCTGCGCTCTTGTAGCGGTACTGACTTTTTATTAATCCACTGAATAAAGTTCAGTAATTCTTGTACATAATAAGCTGTTCTAGTTCTTACATATTAATCACAAATTGTCGTAATCCCTATTTAAAAGAAAGAATACAGCGGTAAATTTTACTCTGTGAAGTCATTTCCCCCTTGTGTTCTGTTGGTTTGACATTATAAGGCGGAAATACCAGGCGATGTGCCCCTGGGGTAAGGGTGGAACGATGCTCCTCCACAACTGAAAACAAAAACATTCGACACAAGAACTCCATCCATTCTGCATTTCGCCCTCAATTATTTCACAAGCCAGGAACTTTTGTTTTCAAGAGCCAACAATCTGTCGGCTTTCTGCCAGATCCGCGAAACAAAACATTCCCACATATAATGCATTCTACGGCGAATCAATAGCTCGTCCCTCATTCAAGTCGACCGATGTGTCCGCCGCTTTCGATGATCGAGAACTGAAAAAACTTTTCTCTCGGGAAATGTTCCGTCTCATTCATGTATAATTGCAAGCAAACAATTCTGGAAGTGTGCACTACGTTTCGCAATATTGTTGATTGCCTGGGCGCATGAAATTCATCTTTGAGTTCTTTTACGCTAATATAAAATTAGTTGTCATTCGGTAGGAACTCATGAATGACAACGATAATGCAGGAAAAGATGAACGTGGTGCCTACATTTGTAATATTTTATTTTAATTCACAGCAAAATGATGTTTCGTGAAATAAATTAAAATCGGTGTTGTTGTTGTTGTTGTTGTTGTTGTTGTTGTTGTTGTTGTTGTTGTTGTTGTTGTGTTGTTGTTGTTGTTGTTGTTGTTGTTGTTGTTGTTGTTGTTGTTGTTGTTTTGAGTCTTGTGAGTACACTTTTTTCTGCTACCTTTTGTCAATGAATGCATTTACGCCAAGAAGCGCGTAATTTCAGATTGTTTCTTAGCCGCTTGCTGACGCCACACACGCTATGAGGCGGCGTTCTGATATGCCCGTATAATCAAAGTACAATAGCCTGCTACCGTTTTCTATATTGTAGAGCTCTGATTTTTCAATTAGGTGTTTTTAAATACTTTTAGGATTAAAAGTTTTAGGTATATTTATTGGCACTTAGGTAAATGTGACGTGGTTCTGTATTCATATATAAATTGTGCTTTCATACATAATTGCCCATATCATACATAAATGGCGCTTCTCTCTTTTTTTTCGGCGCACAGTCTGCGTGTTTTGTGTCTTTGTCCTTATATTACTGAGGTAAAATGTTGTTATGCGCTGAAAGAAATAAGAAAATGACTAAAAATAAAAAAAACTACGCTTCTAGATTTTCTGAACAAAGCCCTCTCCTGCAGGCCGCTGGAGGTGCATACGTTTCAGAAATATATTCTCTTCTCCAAGTAATAATATTTATGGCGGTGGTGTTCGTAACACATTTCCTTGCTTTTATGCACTACTGTAGTGTCTCCCCTCGGAAACATACTTCATACTCGGATCGATGCATCCAGGTACATATCTTTGGCAGAATCACGAACACTACGACATAAACATGCTTACACTATCAAAGAATACTCTTCCAACAACGACTGTTTCAAGCAATCCTTTTTCCCCCTGTCAATCAGCGAATGGAATAGGTTAGATCCCTCCATTACTAACGCACCATCACTGGCAGAATTCACTTCAAAAATTGAGACTATACTTTGAGACAACGGCTTTCTTCAACCATGACCTCCATCATTGTTTTCCAGTAGTATTTATTTGGATGTATAAGTATACGCAATGCCTTCTCTGTATAAAACTGTATTGATTCTTTTTATGCAGCAAATATTCAGTTCGCTGCTTCCGAAGTGTGAATATTTGGAGTGCATAAATACCTATGTCTAATGTTTCTATGTAACTAGGATTATTATTACCAATTTTAACATAACTACAGTTCTGTATGCCGCCTGTAAGAAAGTACTTAGCATTCATTGTATTCTGATACTCATGCCCTCCTGCTTTGGTCTCGTAAGAGACTGGCAGTATTGTAAATAAATAAATAAATAAATAAATACTCACCGATTGGCAAGCGGCATGTCGGGCTTGCCTATGACATGACAAGTTTTGTATACCACATTTCAGTAAAGTCACACTGTTGTATAGGGGACGAGTGTATTCGTTTTTTACGAGGCGCTTGCGCAACTGACTCCGCCGTTTTTCATTCGTTTGCGCAGGAACGACCTACTCCGGAGAAGCGCAGCCGCCAGCCGTATCAGCACTGGGGACGGCTGCGTGCCGTGACCCCACATCCAGGCTGAGTGGGCTGGCGCTCGCCCTGTGCCTCGGAGCGCTCATAGGCGCCACGGCAGTGGGCAACGCGCTCGTATGCCTCTCCGTATGCCTCGTCCGCCGGACTGCGACACCCGTCCAACCACCTGCTCGTGTCCCTGGCCGCCTCCGACCTCTGCGTCGCCCTGCTGGTCATGCCTCCCGCCATGCACCTCGAACTCACGGGCCACCGCTGGTACCTCGGTCCGACGGCCTGCGACGCGTGGGTGTCCGTGGACGTTGCCTCGTGCACCGCCTCCATCCTCAACTTGTGCATGATATCAGTGGACCGGTACTTGGCCATCACGCGTCCACTGACCTACGGAGTCCGGCGCACGGCACGAAGAGCCTGGGCCTGCATCGGTGCTGTGTGGCTTCTCTCCGGGTTAATCAGCGTGCCGCCTCTGCTCGTGCTTGGCAACGAGCACGGCACTCCCGAGATGCCCACCTGCCTCGTGTGCCAGCATCTGGCGTACCAGCTGTACGCCACTCTAGGGGCGTTTTACATACCGCTGGTGGTCATGCTGTCTATGTACTGGCAGATCCACAGAGCTGCCAAGAAGGTCGTCGAGGCCGAGCACAGGGCGAGGCCGGGTCCACGGACCAGGAGCCTGAGGGTAGCGGTGAGAGAGCGAAAGGCTTCCATAACGCTCGGAATCATACTGACCGCCTTCACAGCCTGTTGGCTCCCTTTCTTCGCCATTGCCCTGGTGCGTCCTTTGGGAGGCAAGCCCCTACCTGATTGGGCGCACAGCTTTGCCCTCTGGCTGGGCTACGCAAACTCGGCCCTCAATCCAGTCATCTACGTCACATTCCACCATGACTTCCGGCGTGCATTTCGGGACTTGCTTTGCCTGCGATGCGACGGGCGAGATGGTGGCAGCAGCGCTGTTGAAATTGGAAGCACCAACGGAGAAGGAGGAAAGCTTCTCGGCATGAAGAACAAGATCGATCGCACCTGGACCTGACCGTGGTGGTCGGCGCCCACGGGTATCCGTTCCTGCAAAGGCGACGTGAGTGGGAAGCCTGCGAAAGAGAAAGGGGAGGGGCCGTGCCCGAAAGAACAGCGCCCTCCAAGTCCAACAACTTGCAGCTCGAGCGTGGCGCCAGCTGCTGTTCCTGTTCACTGACCATCATGCTCAGCAAATAGAATGATTCGCCCACCAATCACGACAGACACAAGCTTTCAGCGGCAGAAGATGGGCTCAGAAAACAGTACGACGGGTTCCCGATCCGACAGGACATCAACGTACTAAAAATCTATCTTTTATGACAGTGCCCAGCTTGTGACAATGAAAATGGCCAGGTCATAACAGGGGAGTGCAAGAAAGCCAGGCTATCGTGGTCTCCACCATTTAGGATGGCAACGTGACCCACACATCTGTGTAAACCTAACGAACTTGTGCAGGATTGCTTCCATACTACTCCGTATTGTAACCTAAAAGCCATGCTGATGATTCTAATTCGCTATCATTATTACGCTAAACAAGCAACACTTGATTGCGTTTTCTTGAACTTGTACAAACTATTTTTGTGCGCTCATGTTACGCACACGTCGAAGAACTTGGTTATGTTTGGCAAATTAACATGCAGAATTATGAAAAAAAATACTTGGAAGGAAGCTACAAGTAGGCGTTTTCGTGAGTAATGTCAATGTGAAAATCCAATCTACAACTCACTTGAGCATCAAATTCAGCATTAGGGATATCCTAATAGTATATGCAACGTTTTCACGCTAGCGGGCGTGATTACTTCTATTGTGAGCAGGTTTGGCCCATCTCTAGGCTGCATCATTTCGAACGACAGCAAGTGTAATCGTAACGTTAACAATAGTGTCCATTAGACATACATACGAAATATGATGAGAAAAGGCATAGCTGAAAGAAGATAGCATCAAATTACATTAGTAGGCAAACATGAGAAATCACAAGTTATAGATCCCAGGTCATAACCAAAAAAATTGATCTCATGAGCATTCATGAGGGCTTGTCAACCTGAGGAATGGAAGCATTATCCGAGCGACTGTGACGTAGGCTTATAAGCCAAACAACTCCTATGAGGGGTTACACCAAAACATGCAATTTATTTTGTCGAAACTTGACCTGCTTCTTCAAGAATCTCTGCACGATGCACTTTTAGACACGACCATAAAGCAGGCTAATTTCAGGATTTATCCAACACTCAAGAAGTCCCATCTACAAACAGTTCTATCTGCTAACAATGTGAAAGTATTTTTAATGGTAGGCACAAAATGCCTAATTCATAAATTACAAAGTTTTCACTAAGACAGACTAAAAATAAATATTCATAAAAATTGCCTTCTCAGAAACATATTTCACAATCACACCATAAAAAGTTACGAAGAACGTAAAGTATTATGCTTTAAAAAAATTAATGGGCAGTTGGAGCAAGACTATTTTTAAGATATTGTTTCTCATGGGGAGCCTTTCAAGTTTTTTTTTTTTCAGTTGCACTAGAATGTTACTTGGAAATGAATGCATTACGTATATTTCAATGTGAGTGGCAATGTCGACATTCCAGTCGAGATATTCGGCACCGGGCAGCATTCCTAAGAAGAAATCTTTTTAAGGGACTTCTCTTACCATTGGCCGAAATCAAGGATGCTTAATGGGGCAGCTAAAACGCAGACTGTCATTTCACGTTGTTTGGTACACTGAGGCTCTTCACGAAGATTATGAGCAAAGTTCTCATTTAAGCACCAACAACGTATACCTATTCGCCGCTTATATAGCCAAAGCAAGGTATTGGCTTTCATCACTTCACGTACTAAAGTTATGCAAAATTTTACGAGCTTTGATTGCTTTCATACAAATACCTGTCGACAGTCTATGATAGCCTAATATGTCTCGCATTAGTATTGCATAGCCTACAAGCAGAAAAACTCTGATAAACACGTCTACCCCGAAAAGAACTTTTTCAAGACAATGTTCCCATCCAATTTAAAGAGCGTATAAAAATTATGGAATAAAATACATTCCAAATATCATCGCATAATGCTACGTTCACAAGCTATGTGTTTTCTTATTCTTATCGCATGTATTTGACGTTGACAACGTGGTTAATTCTGAAAAAATCCGCTTGGTGAAGGAAATTTTAAAAAAAGGAACAATGATTATTCTACCGAGCATGGTGCAATGCAGCTATTTAAACCGTTGCGAGTTCCTCAACAAGAAATTGTCGCATTTCTAGAGCTCAAAATTGCTGTTGCACGACATGTCATTATTAAGTGTTCTTTAGCGTGTATATGCTCTTCCATGATTTTTAGTTAAGCATTTGAACGGTATCATAGAAATGGAACGACGATGAAAGCCACAAAGCTGCTAGGACTCCAGTGTGACTTGTTCTTGCTGCGGTCGGGCCTCTTTGATAATTCACAAATATAAACACTGAAACCATTGGTCTTTCGTAAAGCAGACGTTCTATTTCTGGAATCTCCGAGCCCTGCACATGAAAATTCATTCCTCACAACGTCCCAATTACTCATTCTTCTCGCTCAATATTTTTTACCAGAAACTTCGCAAAAATGACGTCCATAGAGTCATGTGCCGGTTGGCCCCGTTAACAACATACTTCAAAAAATTAAAGGCGACGTTCTCTCCACAGATAACGTTCTTTATACAGACAATGAAATTATCAAAAATTTGACTAATTTTCACTTTCTAAGGTAAAATCAGAGCTGTCAGTGTATAACTACTATACGAATGAAACACTTTAAGGCACAGTCTTAGTTATTATCTCACAAACTGCTTGATAGCCTATCTACGTTGTTTTACGCTCAAGTTATTATGACAGAAGCTGAAAGGAAAAGCAACCAGCTAAGACGATAGACTGTATTGGCCCAGGCTTTCACATCCTGCCAATGTGCTTCGTCTCCACAAGAGGTTGTCCACTGCGTCACACATTACAGAAGGTTTCCCTATGGCTCTCCTCCTTATTTACTTACAAGCACTCCATTCATGTCACCCATTTGCCACTGAGTCACCACTTGGAGTAACCCTGAGTATTAGCATACACGTAGAGTCTTTACTCCTTTACGTATGAAGCAGTGATTCATGCATATAAAAAAAACGCTCACTGATTGCAACAGCGTGAAGAAAACGATGCAGTCTACGTTATCATAAACCACAGAAGAAAAAAGTCGTTACGCTTGCCTAGTAGTAATGCCAAGTTTTCGAGAAATATTGGCCAATACACAAATTGTGCTTATTTGCAGTGTGCTTAAACGCTTACTCGTGTTGGCTCAGTGCTGATTTCTCATATGCTTTCAGTTCAGTTAAAATTCTTGATTAGGTTCATCTAGATTAACACATCTGTACATGTACACCTCTATACTTTTACACTTGGGCCACCAGGTTCCTGTTATGTTATTAAACAAAACCGAATTTTGCCTCGTAGATCAACTAAAGGTTGTGGGCGAAATTTCACTAACAACCACAGCTCATTCCAACTAAAATGCATTATATTGACCGCTGGATCTGCGCAGTGAACATACACCAACCAAAACAACTGAAGAAACATCTCAAATCATACGTAACAAAGCTGTCACACATTCAATGCTTCTCAAATTTTGCCACTTTTCTGAGACATCGGAGGCATGGTAGCATTAAACAACTACGTTGGTGAACATTCATTTTTCGTTTAACTCAAAACATGTTACTTCCGCCACTACTTGGAGAGTGATAACACACACTTCTAAGGCATTGACTTACCACTGCATTAATTCGATATGAGACTCGGCTCTTGAGCGATTACCTCAATCGGTTTAGAAATTGATGGCTTCAGCGGAGACATATTGCATACAAAACTTTAAGCATTGACTGTCCTTACTTTGGGTAGAAGCCTGGAAATTCTTCACGCAGAAAGCTTTACTTCTGCTTTTCGACCAGTCTCAAGAGCGTTTTCACGTTACTTGTGCGATTTGAAGTAATAGGGCCTAAATCATAACGCAGTAGGGGGCAGACATTCAAGACAGGAGAGCTACACATCTGACAACTTATATGAACATAAACAGCGTCGCTTCTGCCCTTATTCAATTTTCCCCTTCTATCAAAGCATCCATCGCTAGAGTTTCAAGATGTCGACAACGTTGCAGGATTTTATCCCCGCTGTGGATACTATCAATCACAAGAAAAGTGATTTTAAAAACAAAAGGCGACATTGCCGTAGACGCAGTTAAAGGAAGATGTTTTACTCAAAACGAGATTCTTCTCGTGCTTTCGTAACCTTATTTATATCTGTACAAATTGTCTCATATTCCCAGAAAAAAAGTGTATTTTTTCGCTGTATCTTCCAAATTAAGAGAAAAAGAATAAAGAAGAGCTCGGTGGAAGAACAAGTGAGTGAAAGAGAAACAGGGTATGACTGCTCTACGCTCGAGCATGTAGCTCACTGTCCACGTGACCGAAAGGAGAAAAAAAAAGCTCTATGTCATGTTTTACTTTTCAGGAAAGAAACAAAACTTTGCGCGTTGTGAGAGCGTACATTCATCATGACATTTATGGCTCGTTTGGATACTTCTGTATATAAAAATTCATGTGGTGAAAGATTCATGTACATACAACTGTACGTTCCGAGTACAATAAAAATACGGCACTCGTGCATTGTTGGGGATGTTTTTCTGTGCAATCAATAAATTGCAAATGATCCTCAAAAGGCTGTCATGTTTCTACTTCAGCCTATGCGATCTTTCAGTGACCCATTTACTCAGGAAATAAACCGTCATTAATTTTTGTGTATGGGGAAGATATGGACGTGGTAAGGTGTGTTCCTTGAAAAGTATACAATAGCATATCATGTGGCCCCATCACCTCGATATCTGTGAAGTGTACGGTTCTTTTCTCTTCAACCTTTAGCTACCCTCTCCAGTATAAGATAGCCAACAGGACGTTAACTTTTCTGCCCTTCTCTCTTGATAAACTAATGGCCCTCCCTCTCTCAGTTCTGCGTGATATATTCTCTGGTATATTTATTTCTAACCTGTCGGTATTTTTAGTGTTTGATGAACACGTTTCAAAATAAACTCTGCGTTGCTTTCTACCTTGCTGCAAGCTGTACTCTTGTACAGGGCAGGAGTAAAGATGGCACTTTACGGAACAATTTTTTGTGAAACGTAACTCGAACAGAGGTAGAAAAAAAACTAAGCGATCTAAATAAAACTGCTAAAGAATGACAATACGATTAACGAGTAGAAACATGCAGTTGCTTACCCTGCACTTGGCCAAGAACTGGGTTGTAGTCGGTACAACGAATGATATAGTACTTCGAACTGTACACAGGAAAGATTATCCCTAACTATCATGAAATGGGCCAGTTCCGACCCCTCTAAATATCCAGATGCGTGATTAATGAGCAGCGATTGTTTTAAACCTGGGTATTTGACTTTCCTTCGTGCTGATATGTCATCTAATGGGAGGCTGCCGACTTTCTAGTTGGACCGACGCCGACTGCATTCGCTGCATGGCCGATTTCACCGAGTCTACCAAGTATCTAAGCTTCATGCGGGGTTCTTTTACTTGAGGTCTCACTGAGGGCACCCAAAATAGACATAACAAAGGGAATTATGAAGTGTCCGAATACATGGTGCGAACAGTGAATGAAATCATAGTCACTTACAGCTTATTCTACCACCATTGCACTATGTCGCAATTATCTTTGTTTTTTGTTCAAGAGCTCATTTCGGAATTCTTATACTCTAAGAACAACAGAGAGTTGACCTAGTTGATGCGAATTCAGTTCTAAATGAAACAGTACTTGCAGACACAGATATCAGAAGGAAGCCAAGACACCTCAAATGCACACTAACAACCAAAAAAGCGCACAATGGCGGAAAAGAAAGGAGACACGAGTACACAAGACGCAAATTTCCATGCAACA